CTCTCGTCTCTCTCTCGTCTCTCTCTGGTCTCTCTCGTCTCTCTCGTCTCTCTCTCTCTCTCTACATATACGTATATATGTTTATATCTCTCTGTCTGTCTGTCTGTCTGTCTGTCTGCCTGCCTGCCTGCCTGGCTGGCTGGCTGTCTGTCTGTCTGTCTGTATGTACGTACGTAGGTATGTATGTAACTATGTATGTATTTATGTATGCATGCATATGCATGCATGCATGCATGCATGTATGTATGTATGTATGTATGTATGTATGTATGTATGTATGTATGTATGTTCGCCTGTATTTGCCGTTGTGGCGAATTGCGAGTGATTCGGAGTTAGGGATATTCTTGGATATTTTCGGAGGGTTTGCTGCCGTAGTTTAGGGGTGCAGCAGGCCTCCTTGCAGTCTTTACTGCTTCGGAAAGTTCGGGGACTTATTGGTTTAGGGCTTTCGGGGTGCTTATGGGTCATGGTTGATACCGGGGGTGGGTTCCTGCTTGTTGGGAGTGAGGGTGAAGTCGGCCGTTGAGGAAGATTGTGGCGGCCAGCGGTGGCGTTCGCACGCTGCTTGCTCTGTCGAATCTGGACCAGGACCAGGGTTTTCTGCCAATGGGTTGAGTATTGGACCCCCCCTTCTCGAGAAAGGCTCTGCACAGCCAGCAGGCGCAGGATGTGAAGTTGATGAAATTGTTACCGTCGTTGTTAGGAGGTCTTAGTGTCGCATGTGCCGCCATGTTTCGTTGGGGTTTCACTTGCCTGGCGTTCTGATTGCAGGAATCACGCGATCCTGGTCGCAAGGATGCCGAAGAGGGTGCACGAAACGCTGCCAGGCAGGGGTACAGAGGACTTACACTTATGGCGTGTAGTGTAGTTCTCGCTGCTCGGCACCTTTCAGATTAATCGTGGCCTTCCTCAAATCTACAAGCACTAGCTCTGTGCCGGATTGCGAGAATCTGGGTCTTTCCAGGAACCGTATATGGATGTTGCCAGACCAAGAGGGGCATTGCTAAGAGCAATTAAGCAAACTCCTGAAAAGACATGCTCTGACCTTAGGCAGCCATGTCTGGGATGTGCCTAGAGACCGTCGAAAAAAGAGCGTTAACAGCACGCATCAAAAAGGAAGGAACGAGCGAAAGAAAGGCTGTTTTACCGCTTTGCACAGGATGCGGACACGACACTCCTTGGGACTGCAGAAATAGACAGATAGTGTGACGGTCGCTCGGCCATGTGTCGAGCCTCCAGGCAGGCGTTAGCGCAGATTCTCATCGTGATGAACCCACAGCTTCTGCAGCTGCTCGGCCTTTTTGCTCTATGGGCTGGAAGGGTTGAGGGTTTCCATTTTTGCGCTGAGCTGCAGAGCTTTGGATGTTCTGAGCACTTTCGGACAGGGATAGGCAGATCCCTCCGCTCGTCTTGCGGAGAAGGGGAAAGTCCTGCTGCCATCAGTCCAAGTCTCATCCTGAAGAGACCTGCAGAGTCCCCTGAGTGGCACCGCTCTGCAGGTATCAGGAGCAGCTTGATGCTGTCAGGCGCCTCTTTGCGGACTTGGCTTCCGCAACCGTGCAGCCTGTAACCAATGGATGTCAGACGGAGCAGATGGTCTCAGCCCTAAACCCTGAACGTTGGCTATCAAGAAGAGGAGCAGAGGTGCTCTGTAGCGTCGGCAGGCCGATGCTTGCATTGCTGGAGCACCGGCACGAGCTGCTGCAGTTCGAAGGCGCAAAATGTGGAGTTGTCCCGTTTTAGGGGTTTAGGATTTAGGGAATCTAGGGTTTGAGGATCCGCTGATTAGGGCTTCAGCGACTTTTTGCTTCTCTTGGGGTGTTGCGAGGGCTTCAGGCTCCATTAAGGCTTAAGGGTTTCGAGCTGCCCAAGGCGGAGCCCCTGAACTCCCCAAGCCTTCGACCCTCAAGCCCTGAACCTCTAAACCTCGAAGGCTAAACGAAGATTGCGTGTTTCGGAAAACTTGCTCAAGCAACATGAAAAGCCTCACTGACGGGGGTCCAACAACAACCCGATCCTGTAAGTGCTAGTAGCCGTTAGTAGCCCCAGGCTGCCTGGCCTTGACGAACCTCCTCTCTGCAAGCGAAGAGCTTCGTTCCTTTGCCTTGTGCCTCGGCTGCAAGATCAATGATTTCGACAAGCGCGGAGAAACGCGAGACTCCAGTGCCCTTGAATGTCTTCAGGCTTGGGGGAATGGTCGATCAGACGACTAGCACTACACAGCGTTTAGAAGGTAGTGCTCGCAGCGACCATAAGCCCTAAATCCTAAAGATGGACGGAGTAAAGTTCTTCTCCATTGAGGCAGTCGGGCGCGTGGAGCAAGTGCAAGGACTTGCTGTTCTCCGAGAACGAGGAGGCACATGGGTAGGTCTCTAATTTGGGGTCCCCCTTTAGGTCCCCAATATAGTACTCGTACGGCACCCTTATAAAAAGGACCCTCAAAGGGTCCCTGATTTAGAAAACTACCAACATACTTCAACCTCTCAACCTCTCAGCACTAAAAACCCCAAGCTCCAGCTTCCAACACCAGAAGCCAGGCTGACGATGAGGCGTCGCCGGAAGACATTCCTCTCCCAAGCCCTCTAAATCCGGTCGCTTTGCACCTCAAAGCTCTAAAGACTCTTCACTTAACCCCGTAAGCCCCTGCAGCCCTAAAGCCACTAAGCTCCGAAACCCCTAACTTGCTCGTTCCGGTTCCGGCCCGGAGGTTCAGAGGGCCGGCCTTGAAGCGATGTGCAACCTGACCATGGCTGAGGAGGCCCCCGCGTGGTGAAACCTGGCTTCAACAAACGGGGTTTAGGTGTTGAGGGGTTTAGGGCTTCAGGGTTTTAGGGTTCAGGGTTTTGGGGTTTAGGGGTCTAGAGGTTTAGGGGTTGGCTGCAGGACAGGGACTACGAGGAGGCATTAGTGGTAACTGGTCACAGAATCGGCTACTCGACTGAGGGGACTTTATCCTGCAGGACCCCGAGGGCTTCGGGGCTGTAGAGGCTTAGTTCCAGTGTTTCAACGACTATGGGTTTCAAACGGGAGCCGACCAACCGCCTTCTAAGCCCCTCTGGCAGTTGATGGACAAACTCGGCATCAGTCATAACAATTAGTAGAAAGCGCGTTGCGACAAAATCGCAGAAGGGTGGCTGCAAAAAGAGGAACCACGTCAGCACAACCCACGCGGAGAGTAGCCGACTTAGCGGAAGCGAGCCTGGAAGGTGGCCGAGCGCTTTGCCCTGGGCAAGGCCGAGAACGAGCTGAAGATCTTTGGCGCGTTTTGTGCATCCGAGGCCTCAGTGTGTTGCAACTGCTTTGGGGTTGCGGACATCAAAGGGCTCTAGTTTGGGATGACGGTATGTGGGGCAATCCGCAATAAGAGCCCTTGTACAAGGGAGCCTTAATCAAACCTACCTTCATCTCACCTGTTGAGGTCCCTGATGGCATTATCATGATTGCTGTTTGTTGCTGTTAGGCAGGGCAAGGCCAATGCAGGACAGCAAGAGAGAAGTCTTAGAGGCAGCCTGAGGCCAAATACTTCGTTACAGTAATGTACTTGTCAGAAAGGTGAGCAAGCGGGAGGGCATGCAGCACGGATGCTACACTAACATGGGAGACAATCACCGCAGCATTTCATGGCCGTGTCTGTTCAATCAGTTTCTAATTTTGGCATCCGCCCTGAGCAGGCGCGGCTACGGTGTAGGATGCCTCAGAATCCTGAACGCGGCCTGCCAGGACCTAGACACGAAAACAGATGCCAGAACCTTAATTCCCCTTGCTAAGGACGCTAGCCTAAAGCCTTGTACTTGTAGCAACCCTGCCAAGGCCTCTTAAGGCCCCTGTATGTCCCGAAGAGCTGCTACAACCACGAACCCACCCCGGAAAAGCCCCCGCCTTCCCTTCCCGCAGATCGAGCGACAGCAGATCGCCGCCACGGGAGCCCTGGCCATCCTTTCTGGCCTCGACGAGGCAGCCGTTCCTTTTGAGGAATTCCTTTACAAAGGACTTGAAGAGTTTCTTTCGGGGATATTTCTATGGGTTCTTAAGGGTTCTTTTCAGGTCTCCTTTCATGAACCCTGTAAGGGTTGCTTTTGACGGCTCTTACGGTTTAGGGCCTAGGGCTTGGGGTGTTCTAGAAAAAAACAAACTGTGATATTGCAACTCGTGCTGTTGTCTTGCGTTAAACGCCCCATGATCGTGACTCGGGATCCACTAGGCCAATAGGGTTTAGTTGGAAGTGGGTGTAGGACTTCTGATCTCTTGAGGTTGCCGTCCGCATCGCCGACTGCGAGCAATGCCTGGAAGGGCTGCTCCGTGCAGCTCTGGAGTCAGACTTTTTGGCATCCAAAAGAGGGTGAAGGGCCAGGGCTCTTGGTCTTTCGGTTTTTCACTTCACATCCCCGCGGCCCAAAACCCAGGCCCCGAAAATCCGAAGAGGGACCCCAACGAGCCCGGATGGATCTCCCAAGGACATTCCAGCTGTCGAGCTACGTGCAGTTTCTGCTTTGGTGAGCCTACGCCGTGCGGAAGGGGCCGAGAGCCCAGGCTACAGCTCCGACAAATCCGTACTCTAAGGTCCAAGGAATCTGTGGCCAGTTTGGCAGGAAGGTTGAGTTTACATTCGGACTTCTTCGGGGGCGTTTGCTACACTCCAACATCCTACCGCGGCCGGCTGCCAGTGAACCCGGATTTTGGAAGATGATCAGAAGTGAGATAAGCTGCTGAGCTCGCCTTGCTAAAGGAGTCGCTGCGATCTTTTTTCTTAAGAGTTCCAAGAGTCTTAAGCAAATATCGGTTTATAATTCATTAACTCATAAACAGGGCAAGGCTGGGAATGACCTCGGTTGTCTTTACCCTCTGCCTGTCTTTGCTGGCTGAGGTCAACCAGGAAGTCCGCCGTGCCATCTTCGCTGTCCTCCAGGAACCACTGTTTCTGTGGCCGAGCTTTCAGTCGTCTTCCTCTCTCTTCGTAGTATCAAGAGGAATGTTTAGATGGGCTAACTCGCTTGCTTCCCCCTGAATCCTCGTCCTCGTCCCCCTTCCATAGATGATGATGATGATGATCGTGATGATCGTGATGATTTCCCCTTTATTATCCTCATTCTCTGAGCTTCAGATTCGCAGACTTCAACATCAGGATCAATCAAGGGGGAGCCCTCGTTCTCGTCTGAGGAGCGGCTAAGACGAGGCTTCGAGTCTCCGGACGCGCAGGGCCGTGGCCTCAACGTTTTGGGATGCGGAGGAGTGTTTACGGGTTCCTTCAGGGTAAACATGCATGGTGGGTGTGGTGAGAATGCCGGCTTGCATGTAGACCCTACACCACCTGCACCATCATGCGCCTCGATCTCGCGCTGAAGTATGCTCCTTCTCCTTGAGTACCTGTGGAGGCGCCGCTGAGGAGGAAGTGCAGCAGGGCTGCTGAGCTACTCCAGTCCCTGCCTTTAACTAATTCGCCAGGCGGACAACACGCAGAGCGCGTTTTTCCACCGAAGTCCTTTGAAGGACCTTGGGCCTTGGACGCGAGGCGTGGCCGTTTGCATGCGTAGCTCCCAGGATCGGCCTCAAAAGCAGAGCGATGCAAGGGAGCCGAGAGCAAACGAAGGCGTCCCCATGACCTGGATTTATGACTTCTTCTATCATCATACAGTGACTGTCCCTCATGCCTTGCATTGCTGTGGCCGAGCGTAGTTCTCAAGAAACTTGCCGTGGGCGACAAAATGGAGTGAAGGAATGCAACGTGGGGTTACGTGCGACAGTCCCGTGATTCAAGACGACATCCCAGGCCACTGGTACCCGTGGCCATGAAGAAGCTGTGCAAGGCGGCCCCCGTCAGAAACAACACAAAAAGTATTGACTCGAATTGCCGATCATTTTTTCGGGCCTTTCCGGTAAACCTGTCCTCGTCGCCAGGCACTCCGCGACTGCGTGAGGCCCCGGCAGTGCTGTGCTTGTGGCGATGCTTCGTGCCGTGCACCTTCTGTGATATCTGTGATCGTGAAGTCTAAGCGGCATGCATCCAACAGGCTTCGGCATACCATGGAATGGGCAATTTCCTGCATGCCAGAAGTCTTGTTCCTAAAGCCCTTGCTCTGAAGCCCGTTTGCCCTTAAACTTCAAGATCTTCATGCTCCAACCTCAAATGCGACGCGCCCAAACCCCAAAGCCAGAACTTTGAGCTTCGTCGTTTCCTCAGGGCCTCCGCCTTCAGCATCTTCGAGCGCGGCAAGGGTTGGCAGCAGGGCTACTGGCGGATGGCCGGGGCTCCTGAAGCTGAAAGGGCTGCTGAATTGGCTCACGGCAGGCTGTGCAAAAGAGGCACACCCGGTTCACCGTCCAGCCCGCTACCCCAAACCCCTCACTCTCCCTACTTTTGTCTCTCCCTCTCGACAGCATGACATGAGTCTGTATTCTGTCTTCTGCTTAAAACCTCCCGCCGCGGAGTCAACACACCATAAATCCTGGGACCTGAGCCTCAGTCTTTGAACCCCAACCTAACCCCACGAAGCTGACGAAAGAGAGGTCATGGTTCGGCAGTCCACCGCAGAAGAGCTCCTCGTCATGGAGCCGTGCTCAGAGCATCCTGTCCAGTGCTTTGGCGTATTCGAGGGCTTGGTCATAATGGTGTTGATTTGTGTTGCTGTCTTCAGATGCTAGAGGCATACAGGCGTAGAGTACATACACTGCAAGCGGCACAAATGCTCGTGCTGATAGTAGTAAGCAGGCTACTCCCACATTTCTTCGTTTTCTACTGTAGCTATCCATAGAATGTGTATTGACGGGGCCACTGGCTTGCGAAGAGTAGGAGCTTTGAAGCGTACTAGACTGGTAACCATAGCAAGCGAAAGAACGGTGACACTGTGCGTTAAGTGAGCACAAGAGCTGCTGTCTTTGTTGCTTTCATGGTCCCACTCAAGCGAAGCTAGCTCTTTTCGACAACCCGAACAGAAAGAGACTCGACGCAGTAACAGGCAGAGCATAGGGCAAGACCAGAGAGACCAGCACCACGAGTAGCATCAGCCATCCTTGTGATGGTGCGTGAGACAAGTGGCGTGAGTTGAAGAATCCAGAAGTGTCAGCAACCTGCCCTGCCGGTGCTTGGTGAGCAGGATTGGATAGGATTGGCACCTACGAGAGTGACATCCGAAGCAAGCACACCTGTCAGCGTCATCGCGGCCGTCGTCCTCGTCGAAGCAGCAGCAGCGGCAGCAGCAACAGCAATGATGACAGGGAGGGAACCAGAATTTAAGTAGTAGCAGTGGAATGTGAAGATGAAGAAGAAAGCGTAGCAGCGGCAGCCGCAGCAGCAGCAGTGGCAGCAGAACGCACTCATAGCATTTGCAGCAGGAGAAACCTCAACAGTAAACATAGCGGCGGCAATCGCGATCGATTTGGACATGCGTCACGATGAAGCGTGGATGAGAAGAGGTGAGCACAGGAAGTCGGAAGTCATCACGCAACAATGGCAGGTGCAGACGGCGAAGCTGGAGGATGCCCAGCGCGAGGCCCTGGCCGCAGAGGTCATCGCGGCGCTGACGAAGGCGCCGAAGAGCTCTGCCTGTCTGGCCCTGAGCTGAGGCCTCGGTTTCTGCGCTGTGCTGCACGATCTGTTCAGGCCGAGCTGCAGATCAACGTGGTGTCCATCTACCTGCAGTTCAACGACGAGGCGTCGGTTTTTTGATGCCACAGGATAATTGGAAAGGGGAACCGCTCTTCACGAGATCTCCGATGCGGCGCGGCCGGGAGCTCCCTTGATGCACATCCATGGCGATGCCCAGCTCAGGCCCTGAGCTGAGACGTTTGAGAGCGAGAGCCGGGAGACAAAAGGGGCCCTGGTGAGGATGCAGCTCCTTGGGCTCAGCTTCAACATCGGCCCTCTCTCCTTCTACCAGGCCGGAGCCGGAGAGGGCGGAGAGGGCGGAGGCAAGAACAAAGCGGAAGAGCTGGGAGGTGGGACAAATGCGGAAAGCCTTCACCACTCGCAGGCCAACAGCACCACCTGTGCCTTGCTCTATGAGCGGGCCCTGGAGTGGCTGAAGCCACAAAACGCCCCTTGGCGCGTTCGGTCCGGTGAAATTCGCCTTCTGGAAAATCTCTGCGTCAAGCCTTCTGCGGTCTTCCAGTTCAACTCGATGGCCCAAACTCCGGAGCCCCGATTCCGATACAGCAGGGAATCTGCCCGACGCTCAGGACGTGGCAGTGCTGGACGTCTGCTGCGGGGTCCGGCCCCAAAAGCAACAATCCAAAGCCCAAATATTTTTTTTATGTGATTTATCTACAGTGCTGTAGCACAATCTAGTGCACCGCTCAAGCCCGGCTATGCTAAATTGATTGAGGAGCCTTTTAGCCTTGAGCAGTTGTGATCGGTGCCTTGCCTCAGGTGGGCACCATCGGCCTCTGTGCCAGCCGCCGCTGCCGCCGGGTCATTGGCATCGAGCTGATCCCGGAGGCGAAGCCCGCTCTTAAAGGACCTAAGGGTGCCCTTCTGGAGCTTGGCTCCTTTGTAATATCTGTAGCAATATATTGGGAACCTCCCAAGCAGATTTGCTTTGTCTCCGCTTGTGGCTCCGAGAATGAACCGGCGTTGAAGGGGGGGGGGGGGTCCCTACATTTTGGGGGCGTTATTGCGCCTGTTCGTTCTCTCTTTGCGGCTTGGCGCGCAGTGGCTCTTTTGGGCTGTTACAGGCCGTGGAGGCTGCGAAGGCCAACGCCGTGCCGCCCCCAGACTCTGGAAGGCAGGGAGCCCCAAAACGTGAAGCTTAAACAGTGTCAGGGCTGTAAGCAGGGATCGACAGCAACATATTGCCACAGTAGAGCGACCCCAACCACACGTGAACTCCAGGCCCCTAGGCCGACCTGCCTTGGCTTCGTTGAGTTGCCGAGGAATTGAACAAGGTGGAGAACACCGAGTGGATTGCTGGGGCCCCTCTCGTTGGATGGAGATGCGGATAGGGATTGTCTCAGCGGCGAAGAAGCTGAGGTGGGCAAGGCCGAAGATGTCTTACCCCAAGTCCTCCAGGGGCCGGGTCCTCGATGTTTTGGATCATGGTCTCTAATTTCTTCGTCCAATCATAACCACAAATGACTCTTATGATTCTTGCTGTCGCAAGTTTGTAGCCGCCAGCCGATTCAGGATTTCGGACTGCAGTCGCACTCATGCTAGGCCTGTCAGGCAGGTACCCATATTTGACATCACAGCGTCTGTTATCCGTTATTTGAGACAGTGTTCGAGTTTTTGCTGCAAATGGGGGTGTGATTACGGCTGTAAGTTATTGCCATTCCTGCCTTTCCTGCCATAGAGACCAAGAACCTTTCTAGGAATAGGAATAGTACACAAATTCAGATAGAGTCGTTCTGCCTCGGACGCTGAGACTCTCAGGCTGGATCCAAGCCTTGAGGTCTGCGCGGTGTGGAGCCTGGGGGGATTTGGGCTTTTGGAGTCCGAGCGTGCGCACTGCATAATTGCGAGTGGGACACTTTTTTCACGTCTTGCACTCCGTGGTTGTTGGTTCTTCTGGTTTCTGGAATTTTGTAAGGTTATCAGTGCTCGTCTCAGTACAATGGCACAACAGGGGACTTATTCTACATGCCTGAACCCAAGCGTTTAGCTGCGGAAACGACTGGATGTTATGACCTCCCTGAAACAAGTCATAACCCGCGCTTACTTGGGGTAATAAAACGCTCCGGAGCTGCAGTTGTTATGTCGTCAGGGTCCGCCTGCACATGGAGAAGGGCTCTTTCTTGTTGTGCTTTGTGGCTGGCGAGATTCAGACACGTTTGATGCCTCAACAGAGAGACTCTTGCAGCAATGCCTCGCGTGATGCGCTCATTTCCTTGTCTTTGCGCACGTTTCAAAATGTGACGCCGCAGACGCGTCACCTTGCCGATTCACTTTGCCTGGGGTGCCTTGTGCGGGTCTGGGGTGCCTTTCGGCGATCGAGGCGTCACCTTGGGGTGGGCTGACTTTTGCCGGGGGTGGGATGACTTAGGGCGCTCACCTTGTAGTATCTTCATAACTGGCATGATCGGGTGGGAAGGGTGCTCACGTGATGAGTCTCGGGAACGTCTGTGTCTTGTGGCAAACAAGGTGCGGGAAGTGTTGACCATGATTGGACTAGTGACTACTTAGTGAGGGTGCGGAGTTTGATGATGATGGCGTTGATCATGGCCGGAGGTAGCGTGATTGCGCTTCCGATGCTGCCTGTGACAGGCATGGCAATGATGGTTTCGATGGCCATGTTGGCGACGATGGCGATGACTGCTATGAACCAAATGTTCCATGAAAGACACTTTGAAGTTAGAGGTCGTCGACCCACCTCGCCCGGGGCTACATTCTTCGGTGCTGCGCGCGCTGAGGCACGCGGAGTTCGTTTTTCCTTCCCAGCCGCCAGCTGAATCCTGAAGCCCCAAATGCTGGACTCTCCTTTGAGCACTTGCAGGGGTTGCCCTCAGCTGTCGGAGCCTCAGAGCTGCGCATGTGGTTGCGAGATCGATCATCGGAGACACGCCGGCGAATCGTATACACCGTTAACCTATCTTCCGGCCTCGCTGGCCTACTGATCCATGCTAACTACCATATACTGTGAGAAGGTTTGCCGGAGCACAGCCAGGGTCACCTCTCCCTTGCCAGGTCGCGAATCGTCTACGTGAGTTGCAACCCCGACTCGCTGGTGGAGGACCACAGAAAGCGGGGGAGAAATGTGCCTTACGTGAAGGTCGCTTTGTATCGCACTGCAGAGGACGTTGTGAAGTTGACGATGCCCTCCGAGAGAGACGAGGAGCTCCCGGCAGCACAGTGCAGTCGTTCTCTTCTCATGTCGCCGCATGCCGCAGCGTCAGCCGCAGCTGTCGGTGACCGCGGCAAAGCCCCGATGCAGGATCCGTTCGTTCCTCTGCGAGCCGTCGCAGTGGTGCATGGCCCAGCAGCACATGCTCCGATGGCTCAGTGACCCTTGCAAGAGCAGCAAAACAGCAGACCTGCAAAAGAGACTTGGAAGAGACCTGGAAGCGCCAAGAGAGATCCTTTGCAGAGCCGCCTTTGACCTCTGAGGACATGTTCCCACACACGGTTCACTGTGAGATGATCTTGCTCCTGGAACGGTCTTCCAAGGCGGGGCCGGGCCGGAAGAAGTTTCGTTTCCCCCTTTTCTTGTTGAGTCGGAGGTCGAAGATCCCAGGAAGGCGGATGCGCCTTCCGCCGCCGCTGCCCCCGCTGCCTCCGCCTCGGCCGAGGGAGGATTCCTCCAGGGCTCACGTCTGTCTTTTAATCAAAAACGGAGGGATCATGGATGGATCATGGCATAGATGGTCACCGTTCAGGGCTTGTCTCGTGGCGGTTTCGTGGCCGATTTCGTGGTTGTTTACTTGTGACTGTGAGAGCGATGCTGATGGTGACAAGCTCTTGACGTCGATGAGGGATGATGGCCGTGAACGCTGCGAGAAGGACGAGGATAAACGATGACTCAGGCCTTCGAATCTTCATTTTGTGGCTTGTTGTCAACTGTTTGCTTTTCCTTTTTTTAAAGTTCCCGCCGCCCTGCAAAATGTGTTTCTCAGCGTCCTCCGCAAACTTGGCGCCCAGGCCGCTGAAAGCGAAAGCAGGGGACTGAGATTTCCGCTGAGATTAAAGAACACCGCCCACTGTCGACTCCAAAGAAACCATCTGAGATGCCCTTGCCTTGGCCGCTGAGATCTCCTGAAGTCTGAGGTGCCGCGCCTTCCACTTCGCAGGTCTCGGAGTAGAGCCAGTTGCGACGGATTTGCGAGGCCTCAAAAAGAGCATCCCTCAGCGGTCTGACGCCTCTTGCATCGGCAGCGGAACCTGGATTTCCTTGAGCTTGTGCTCGTGCTTGGAAGTCATGTTTCCTGTTGGCGTTTGGCTTCAGGTCACAAGCTGTTTTGGTAACAGCGGTTGTGACAGCCACCTGTGTGTGGCAGATAAGGCCGGATAATGGCGCACCGCACCTACTTCATGATTTGGCAAGCTGTGGCCGTGCTTGTGAGCCTTGTGAGCGGCGACGCTGACTGCTCAAAGTGCTCGTCGATTGAAGATTGGAACGATGAGCGTCTGGAGAGATGCAATGTCTGGGGTGACCCACACACCAGTGACAGCTGGAGTGTGAACGGGAGATTCGACTTCCACGGAGTTGGGGTGTACCGTTACGCGCACATCGATGCATGCGGTGGCGGCTTCAAGCTCGATGCTTTCCAATGTCAGCACAGGGACTGGAAGCACTCAGCCATCCTCTTCGTCGGCATCGAGATGAACAACGGTGCTAAAGTCTTCGTGAACGGAACTCAGGCTGTGCCTGTCTGTGAGCTTTGAGCTTGGCAGTTCTTTAGCGGAAGCCGGAAGGTGTGGTTCTGGGAACCTTGTGACGTGACAGGTGTCCACTTCTGGCAGCGTCAGCGTCACCGGCACTACGGGCAGCGATGGGGAGATGCAGATGAGCAATCCAAGGCTTCTTGCCAGAGAAGCTGCTGCGCAATGTCTTGACATGCACTCGCTGTCTCTGTCAGCACTTCATGCAGGGAACCGCAGCTCACAGTAAGCAAATGGCTTCCATAGTAGCTGTTGCAGGGACGGCGTGAACGTCGTCTCGGACGACTCCTGCATCCGCATCAACGTCAATGCTGTGAACCTGCATGGTGATCTCCGTTGCGGGCCAAGGGGAGAAGTCCGCTGCGCTGCTGCACTTCTTGTAGCTGCTCGTTTTGCCCAGGTTCCTCCAACAGCTTCAAGGTGCGAGTCCCCCAGGCCAGGACGCATGATGTTTCTCAGGCACTGCGACGCAGCACCTTTCAACCTTAAAGCCTCAGCTCTGACACCTTGAACCCTCCTTGCCACTCCACCCTCAACGACCCCCAAACCCTAAGCCTGTGAGGCATTACGAGACCCTGTTGCAGCCCGAAAAGCAACCCCTCGACCGACTTCCGAAATCCTCCAGGATGCCATCAGCGATATTGGCATCTGCGGTGCCCAAAAGCAATGGAAGGAGTAGCCTGGGACTGCAAAGACGGAGTGCGGGTTTCGGGGGGGGGGGGGGGGGGGGCGTTTTAGAGTTTTCGGGTCCTTTTTTTGGTTCTGGGTTTCAGGGGGTGTAGGGGGAAGCTCAATCATGACAGAGTGCGGCAGCAAAGGTAGCAACAACAGACAGGACATGGTACCTCCGCACTCAGTCTATCTCGTAGTAGTGGTAACGGCAGCAGTCCTGACTCGTGGATGCAAAGCGCAGTCGGTATCATCACCGTAGTAGCAACACAGCAAACATGACCACCATAGCAGCACAATCAACTTCAGGCAGCATGAATGATAAGGCAACGTGCAGTTTATGTGTTGACTCTGGAGCAGCAGCTGGCCCAACGAGGCACTTGGTGCGCGGAGAAACCGACTTCATCTTCAACATCGACCAGTGGCGCTACATGTGCGGCGCCTGCAGCGCACTAGGCCCAACGAAGCTCGCTCATATCGCTCATAGAGTTGCAGCTGTACTACAGCCGTCGTCATGTAAGACGGGAGCCAAGCTTTGCAAGCACTTTCACAGCTGTTGCTTCTCTTCCTGCATAGTTCAGTTCTTGGTTGTCTGTCGTCAGATTTTTCGGTATGAACGACTTCTGTTTCACTTTGGTCGCTGGTTGGTGCTTGTCGGCATTGTCTTGGGCATTACTTGTTGTTAATGTGCTGCTGCTGCTGCTGCTGCAGTTGTCTTTTTTGTTGATGATGTGGTTGCAGACTTCCCACAGTGCTACGCAGTGGGAGGCTGTTTGCTTGCTTGCTTGCAGTTTCCCCGCCGTGGACAGGTGGGCTGCACCCGCCCAACTGCCCGTCTCCATACTTCGGCCAGTTTGATTTGAGTTCCCTTGGCTGCACGGGGCAGGGGAGAGCAGGCACCCCGAGCTCCAGTCGGTCCTCGCTGATGAAAGCTGAGGCCCTGGTGGAGAGTTCTTGCGGCCCTTCGAGAAGGAAGGGCCTGGCCCATGGCTTAAGGCTTAAGGTTCTGGCGGTAGAGAGCGGTGCAGTTCGTCGTATGCCGCCGCGGACTGCAAAGCCACACGAAAGCCTCAAAGCTCCGAAGCCCCAGATCTGTGCAATCCTACCTTCCCAGAAAGGCCCATGTCCCTTGAATATGCGCTTCTTCTTACTCAGCTCAATGTGAGCATCTTTATTTTTCTTTCTATTCCCACTGCCGTTTCAAGCTCAGGATCAGTATCGATTCATTGATACAGATGCGACCACAACTCCAACAGTAATCAGGGTGCAGAGGCATGTATCCATGAGAGCCCTCTAAAGGAAAGTCGGAAAGATTGAACCCGAACTCCCAAACCTCCCGAAACCCTGCACCTCACAGCCTCAGCCCGACATCCCACACCCATCTCAGCCCCTTCGCATCTTGTCGCCTTTCAAGTCAAAGCCAAGAACAGTCCTGAACAGACAAGAATCAGGAACAGCAAGAGCCGGATAATATAGAAGCCTCAACATTAAGGCTCGGAAAGTTTGGGGGCCCAGCAAGCCGACCTTAGACCAAAATTGCAAGAACAATGGAGC